TTGCTGGCAGCTGCGTCCTTGGAGCGCTTTGTACATTTTCAGCTTCATAGATTTTGAGGTTTGGGGCTATGGGCTGGGGATAGGGCGAACGAACAGCAGCTGCGTCGGAACATCACTCTGTATTAACATGTATTAAGTGGGTAGCTGTCGCCCAATCAGAACTGAAGCAAGGTGGCGTTAAGCTTCCTAGGACTGGGCCTTCATTACCGAGGCGGTCAAGCAGGACAAGGCTTCAGAGATTGTCCAAGCGTGCATGATGCAAGCGACCTCAAGCAAGCCTTTGGCAAGGGATCTGAGAATCTTGTAGAAAATGCCTTCTCCCAAGAGCTTGTTTTCCCGCAGCTACCCCCAAACAGGAACAATCATCAACTAAATTTCACCTGTCTGCACTCCCATTCAAAGAGCGACTCCAAACTTGCACTGCATTCCTTTTTGGTAGCCTTTGGCCTAGGTCGCAAAACCTGCAAACCGACAGACCCTGCACCCTACAAAAAACTACAAGCAGCAAACCGCTGAACCATTCACCCCAACTGCTTTCAACCTCAGTCCCACGTTTCAAGGTTGAGGGTTCAGGCCGGAATCGAATGAGAGAATGGCCCCCGGGCCATGGACCTGTAAGGATAAGCGATGAGCCCCTACCACTATCATGCTCATCATCGTTCGCAAAAGGCAGATGAAGACAATCCCAGGGAGCTGTGACGAAGCCCAGAATGGGAGGGATACCCCTCTCTGAGAACCCTCCCACTAAACGCTGAGATTTGAACAAATTTCCTACATACACAGCACCCCGTGAAACTTCCCAAAGACAGCTTGAAGTGAGCTTCTAGAGATAAAATGCCCACGTGAGTGGTGCTAATGCCGGCTAGTCAAACGCATCGCATGATAAAGCGGGAGCCCCCCCCCCCAAACAAGCACCCTGAGTCCAAAGTCCAAAAGCTGCCTGAGATATCTCGGCAAGTGTTGGGACAGCTATGCCAGGCAGAAAGCGCCCCCCTGAAGAGGACTCCACCCTGCGTGTTCTCTGTATGATCCGTATGATCCTACCAGAATCGTTACACGCGTATCTGCGCAAGAACAAACCATGAAATCTGTAAAAAGGGCCGAATTCTGTAGACTACTAACCTAACACTTCTGATTTGAACGCCTGTACATTCCAATCTTAGGGGCTCTTCTGAGGCCCTCCGCGACGCCAGGGAGACCAACTGGCCGGCCAAGGAGCCCTGAACATCAGCGCCAAAAAGCCAAACAAAAGGGGACAGACAAACCCCGTCAAGGTATAGGACACAAGCTGAATAGCACCAACGATGATCCCTCAGATGGGAATTTCTTTGAACAAGGTTCCCAATATTTGGGGCAACTTGTGCTTTCTACATATTCGTGGAAGAGAACCGTTGGACACGAGCTGCATCTCCCATTTCCCCATGTTTAGAACTGAAATCACATGGGACTTTGCCGGAGGACTTCGACATCTTCAACCTAGAGGGACACGGCCAGCATACCGAACTTTGAAAACGCTTTTCCAGAGCTGAAAGCTAACCCTAAGCCCTTGATCCCACACGCCCATACTGTTGAAATGCGCGGACGTGCTTCCTGAAAAGAAGTAAACCCTGAACCCTTGAACTCTGCACCAATGGCTGGCAAAAATACAGCGACCTCG